TATTCTTTCAATTCTTGCCACGCTTCGGAAACGTCAATGTGCAAACGCGGAGAGTTTGATCGACCCACATAAAAACACGGTTGCGGTAGGAAACCATTTCCTACAACTGCTTGTCCGAAAACGTACGAAGCAGTTCAAGAGGACAAAATAAAAAGCTTTCTTTAACATCTGCTGACAGGGATCAGGTGTCTGAACCGCATAATAACAGAACAGAAAACAGTGCAGCTTTACGAGTTGTGTCGTTCACAGGGGGCTTACGTTCCGGTGACGCACAGATGTGGATTGAGTGACTGGTGGAAAGGATTGTTCCAGCATCAGGGCTACTGCAGGCGCAATGAATCATTTGGCAGTATCCATTGTCTGATCTGCAAGCATCAGTTTCTGGTTTGGTCAAAAGCAACCTTGCAGTAACATTGAAGCAGCATTGAAGACCATACTCTGGGATCATCCATCCACGAGGGTATCACATGGTAGAAGGGGCAGTTTCCACAACCATATTGACAACAACATAAAATCCGGATAGTGAGGAGGAGGACCCTTTTGCTGACACGATTAGTTGTTTTCAAAGCTTTCTGTGGACCTTCATTCATTCACGGGAATACGCATATGACACACGCTGGATAGGTTCTTTCAGAGCTGTTTGACGTTCAGTGGAAGAGAGAAAGGCGGATTCCGGTTACCGTCCCTGTCGCCGAAAATATGCGCGAATATTTGGTCTGAACGAAATCCATCTTATTTCCCGCCTAATTCCAACCAGCCTGTGCAAGATAAAACCGTAGAGCGCCAGGCTGATGACACACTTTTTACACTCCCCTTTTCAAGGTTAACGTTGCGGTGAGGGATCCTGTTCCCGGCGGTATTTTTTATTCCATTTATTGTCACATAACACTTTCATCAACATTTTATTTAAGCCTAGCCACATTGTTCCTAGGCTCGAGGGTGGACGTAGCGTCCAGAATTTTTCTGTCTTCCAGAAGATATATTCGCTTTCCCTTGTTCCCTTCACTAGACATGTCTGACTGGGCTTCATATGCGATTTACAGCGAATGCATTGCTAGGAACGAAACTAGTTGTTCTTCGAAACGTGTAAACTATCGTTGCAGCTGACGCCTCTATGATCATTTTGCAGGCCCACCTTTTTTGGTGACAGCCTCGTTGATGGCCGATCAAGCCCAGATAAGTTCTGCCTGTTTCAGAGATGGCACATTTTGCCGCCGAGACAAGATATAGTATAGGCAAACAAGGCCCTTCTGTTGACTACTTCTACAAAAGATGCGAATGCGCATGGAGTGAAAGTTTAACTTTGCTTACGATAGCAACAGTGGAACAGATGAAGGATTTCAGGGTTTGATCCTTAGTCTTTTCTAAGCATTACTTGCTTTTCATGGGACTGTGGGATCGTTTGTCCGGGGTCCTTCATATGGTTTTCGGAAGAAAGAACTTTCCCAAGATAGAAGCTCTACTCGTGTCCCACGGGTCACGCCACTCACACCAGATGCTTCACATGTGTTTACAACGTCGTAAGGATCTGGAAGTTTTTAGTCGGTCCTTTGGCAATGTGTTATCGGAACCTGGTACAGGAAACTCATTCCTAACTGTTAGTTTCCCGCTGAAGACAGACCAGTATTGCTGCCGGTCCAAGCACACAAGTCATAGCACTCCGACTCCCTTAGATACCCACATCATCATAACAGGGTAAAAAGTCTGTTTCAGCCGACTGATCGAACCGTTACCTCAAATCCATAGATGCCCTCTCCTTTCATTCGGTCTAGAACTAGTGCTCCATGTCAATGGTTTAGGGCTGAGTGGAACCTCAAGTGTAGTTTCTTTACATCCCAAATTTTTCCCTCTTACTGAGAAACTCCTTGGTTTATCCTGCACTGACGAACGCGATGCCTTAAACTAACTTCATAACACGGAGATACTTGAAAAGGCGTGCCCTACTAACTGGAAAAAGTGACCGTCTGTTTCTCCGGGTGAACCATAGTTGCGCTTACCGAAACCGCGCGCATTTCTAGATGCAGACTCCACAAAGAGTTCACCTCAAAACAATTTGTTGCAGCTTCTGTATCCGCGGTATCCTGCGGATCCGACGGAAGTGTCAAATCAATAGTACATACGCATGTTAAATGTCCTTTAGAAGAAGCAACTCCATGGTGTCAGAGCTTATTAGTCTCATAGAAACCCTGTAATCAGTCGGGTGTAGGGTGGAAAAGACCCAAAGGGGTCTTTCCGTCACTCGTTTGACTGTTTTGACAAATGAACTTGTCTGTGGTGCCGTCTACCCTCTTTCTGGGTACAGTTATTCGAAGGACGTGTACCGTTCACAATCAATCCTACCATCGTAACAGTGGTACCTCATAACTGTTCCAAACTCACTTGCTGTTCCCGTCAATTGTTCAAAGTACTCGTAGAGGAAAAAATAGACTCAGTGGTTTGGCCAAGCAAGCTTTGTTCTCCACATAAACGTGACAATCCAGTGCACGGCCATTCCACCTGTACGGCATAGTTTGGGACCCAACACTAACCTTATTATTAATAATCGCAACAATCGATCAGCATTGTTGCCCAAAGGGAACACAACGGCTGTGATACTGTCAGGTTGCTAAACCCTAGACAGGAGCAGTCGAGATGCCGCTGTTGGATTCGAACTACGAACCTTCCGGTCAGCCCTATCCACTGAGTTGTCTCGGCTCTTGCTATTATCACTAAATCGCGTGACTAGTTTGTGTAATGTGCAAACAAAGGGATACTCAGCTGCACAAACGTCAGTCAATCTTGGCGTGTATTGCGCGAGGTCACGGCGTCGATGATTTCACCAGCCATCCAGGAGCCTTGGGCTAGCCAAAGTCGATGATTATATTTGTAAAGGCATGCGGTTCGCTTTCAGGTAATACCACCTAACACGATGGCGTCAACGTAACCCCTTGCATTGCTTTCGATCCACCAAATAGGCGTTTACTTCCTGTCCCTTGTTTTTGTTTTCATCCATATCGTCCTATTTGATGGTTATACGTGCATAGGTTCAGTTTAGTTTTCGTAGTGTGGGACTGCGCGTACTCTCTTTCAGCCGCTTACTCGCACTCGCACTCTGTAAACTGAGCTCTTTCTACATTGGCTTCAGCGTGCACCAGCTGGTTAGCTACGGTGGCAGTATGTCCCGTTGTCATGGTTGCCGAGCGGTCGCGGCGGCAGAACCAGACTGTTCGCTTCTCGTTTTCTATTTACATACAATCTGACACGCTCACACGTTTTTCACTATTGCTGCGTGTATGCAGACGCACAAGGACACATACACAAATACCACCCCCGAAGCTATTATCGTATTGACTGTCCAGTTTCAATTTCCTCTGTCCAGTACAACACTGCAACCTACTCACACTCGTTCAGTTGTTGGACTGACAGCGTGCTGCGGTATGTCGCGCTGTCACGTCATACACAATCAGGGTCTGGCCCGTGCACGGGTGCCTGTTGCTCACCAGACAGAGCAATACGCTGTTGTATTCGAACCCGTTTATGCACCGGCAAACATTCTGGGGAGGGGGGGGGCGTGCATGGTGATCCGTCTCTTCTGATTTCCCAGTGAATAGGAACCTGTTTCGCGCGATTCGGCCGTAGTGCGTACATGTCAACGAAAATATAGACATAAGACCGTTTTGCCAGTGCGTTTTCCCTGTCACTTCGATACGCTTGTGTATCATCCGAGGCGGATCTGCCGATCAGCAGTGGTTGAACAACTGGACGTCTGCACATAGATGGAAGCGATTTGCGAATAGAAAGCTTCTAAAATCTGTATAAACCCTAGAGGAGCGGATCGGTAAGCAAGCCTGCTAGAAGCCGTCGACCGGACTCAATTCATTGCATCGAAGTGATGGCATCATCGATCAATTCTCTCAGTGTCTTCTGCCTTTATCTTAAATAAATCACCTCAGCGCCGGGACCGCTCATTACCTCACCATTTAGGGGTTAATAGATAATAGGGTGATAAATCAGACAGAGTAGCAACCGGTGCTGCTAAGGTTTGACTGTGAATTTGAACAAGTGTGGAACTGGAGAGGCTATCACTCTAGCGACAGTCAATTGGTGCCCTTCCACTCGATATCCTAAGAGCATCCGTCGGTCCATCCTTCCGTAACCTACCTTTGATTTGGTAAGGGAAGCGTCCTCACCTGCACTCGATTAAGAAAATTAACGTACTCTTTCGATATTCCCAATCTACTGATTATTTTCGCTAAGGAAGTTGTGCTTATCTTATCTATGGTGGATGTTGGTGTTCCATCAGTCTCTTCGCACGGTCTGGTCATTCCCACCGATAAAATCCAGTTGCCAAGACATGTACCGAAACTTGTTCGTTCGCCATTTCGGTTCTCGCAACAGTGTAATTAAGTTTTATGCATTTGGAATGAGCATATTAATTGAAACGACCTTGAACTGTCCGAGCCCCTTGTCTGTAAACTTGATTGAATTAGTAATGTGGATCACTTGATTTGCTGCCACACATGTTAATGAGTTGTTTCCTGGTCAAATCATGTGGAAAGACGACTCTTTAACGCAGTGTAGTAAGTAGTATTGGTTCTCCTGATCATTTGACTTGACCGCTTTGTGATTTACTCCTGGACTAGACCACCTTGTGGTCGGAACTCGTTTTGAGAGTTGAAAGTGACATTAAGACGTTCAACCCCCCCCCCCAGGAAGACTGTCCCCCTGAGGGAGGTGGTCTCGATTCGGGTCAATTACACATTAAATGCGTCGTTGCCAACCCAGAATGTTGCTGTGACCTCGCTTGGGGTGGAGGTGAATTACTCCATTCTGGCCTATCCATATTTGATAACATGTGAGGCCTCGCCACTAGCATTTTGGCCTCTATCCTAGGCGATACTCTGATTTAGCCGTCGGACAAATGGTCTTGAGATTCCGTGAACTTATCTATCGTGATTTGTTGCAAAATACCGCTCTACTCGGAATTTTTTTACTCAGGTGCGTTTTCTTGACTGTTACAGACCTGCGTGTGCCTATCCACAATTCGTCCAAAACAATCTTCAGAATGGTCAAGATCTATACGCTGACCGTGAGGGATTCGGATTTGGCATTGTCTGTAACCAGAACCCATCAGTCCAAACGATGCAGTCTACTCCGCCTGGCCTGTACTCCATGCCTGCTCCGGGTCCGGCTGGTATGGTAGGCAATTCGGGCACACAGCATTTCCAAGCTGCATCCGCATTTTCCACCCAAACCTATTCCCAAATGCCCCCGTTCTCCACTCAGATGCCTGCAGAAGTGATGTCACAGGGGGCACTGGCACCATCATTCCAGACTCAGCAGCCCACTTTCCAAACGGTTATCACTCCAAGTGGTGAGAAACTCATCTCCTCAAATCTTCCGCCTGGTTATGCTCGCGGTTCCAATTTGAACGGACCAATAAATCAGCCAACCTCGGTGCCATCTAGCTACGGACCAATAGTTGGCGGACCGGGTAGTGCTTCTAACTCCGTACCACAGCAACGACTGCCGGCTGGGACGACCCTGGCCCCTGTAGGAAATGGCCGAAATCTGTCACAATCCCCAATGACTGTTCGACCTGGTTGTACCCGGCCAGCCTCGGGGATTGCGGATTCCAATGGTGAGTCAATTTTCTTTCTTGTACAAGTGATCCTATCCTTGTCTGACCCATCGTCTATGCAGTACGGTCATTGGTGCTCTAGACTTCTTCTTGAGTTACCTCATTTTCAGTACTAGTCTTGAACGCAAAAGAGTAGCATGTCCGTCCCGTAGTTGTAGGCACCTTTTCCTCATTTATGTCCGAAGGCGTGACTTTTTCCCCGTAACAACGTGGTGCCCAACTTTGCGTCTCCTTCACCTAGGCTTATCCTATCCCTTACTGGTATGCTATTCAGGGCATTCCCTTCTCCAGAAAGCCATTGTATTGCAAACTCCCCTTACTGCATGTTTCTTTATAGGGTTCGCGAACCAATCCATGTATACGCCTTATCCGCCCGGTAGTAATGCGAACAATGGAGTCAATGTGCAAGTCCCATACACAATTTCCATTTCGAACACGGCTATTCCTTCTACTGTCTCACCGGGTGGAAACAAGTCCAACATGCCTCCTATGGCTCCTTATCACTCTACTCAGCCTCTTATGCCTCAAAGTGCTTGTGCCGGTACTGGTCATATGGGACGATCTCCCTGTTGTCCACCTGGAGCCCCAACAATGCCGCAGGGAACTGCTGGGTACTCAGCACAGCAACCGAGGCCACCAATTTGTTCGTCGGCATATAACTATCAGGTTCAGCACTATGCCTCTTCCGCATCCTTTCGTGCGGGATCATGCACACTGTCTGGGACGCAGCCACCTTCCCTGGTTCAGCGGCCATTACAATCTCCGTCGCCGCAGGTTAGCAAAGAATCTCCTGGCCTCAGTGGTGTGCAGGTTCACCCCTCGATAGCTCAACAATCCGCACAGCTGCAATCATCCCAATTGTCTGTGTGCCCATCAACCCCATCAGACTCCTCGAATCCTTGCTCATCCTACCCGTCTACCGTGAACTGCAAAGGTCATGGACTCCCAACTCCTAGATCCGGTAGCACCGGACCGTCGGGATCAATGTTCAACAATGTCACCGGATGTGGTTTGCCATCCAATATGGTTGGGCCCCACACCTCTATCACTCCACCTGGGAGCATTGTCTTGAACGGTCCAGGTCCGCCACTGGGGCAGTCAACCGTACTGGGTGGCTGTCTGCCCATCGGATGTGAAAGTGACGTGAAGGTTAGTGTTCTCATATAGAAATTTCTCTAATTGGCTTGTTTTCGTTTTTTCTCTCTGTCACTCATTTTGGTTTATTCCATTCTGACTCGTTTGACTTATTTATTTCTCGAGTAGTTGTTCACTCACTCTCCACCACTGTGTGTGGGCTTCTGATATTTTGGAGTGCCAGAAAGTTCCCTCGTGCCTGTTAAGAGTGGACCCTGGACGTTTGAAAAAAAAACAAATCGAAAACCACAGTACCTATTTTTATCATTCCATTGTAAGAGTAAGGTGGTGCACGAAAGCCTCGTTTCTGACCCAGTAAATGGTTTGTTTGTATGATTGTATGAGTTTTTTTTTGTGACTAGTGTTTCGGCGAGTCTCAACCATTCAGCTTGCAAACCTTATGGAGACACAAGGATACCCCACGCTACAATCATCTGATACCACATATAATCATTGTCTCGTCTGTCCACCTATCTAAGGAAAGCTGGTCCGGTTGTCCCACTAACAGGCAGGCTATTGGTCGACCCGCTCACCCACATCTGGATCTGGCTAAGTCGGTGTTCGTTGAGCGGTTTCCTGTCGGGGGGATTTATCTAGATGTCTCTTCGATGATAGCGTTTTATTGTGCGAGCGCGGAATGATAGGAACCGCATTACGCACTTTCTGCGATGGGAGATGAGCTATCGGTCACATCCGGGTGTCTTGAATAGGTGTCCAGAGCGAACGCACATGATATCCAGTGGTAATCTGGCACGATGGCATGCCAGTACAACGTGATGAATCTACGTAGCCGTCAACAGCCTCTGTCATCCGAGTCGCTATAGATGAGCTGCCTAGCTAAATTTCGATAACAACCACCACATAAACAACTCTTCAGGAAGGTAAATTCCAGTGTGGCATCGGAAATAATGACACTTGTTGGTACTCAGTGGATTTCCTTTTTATTGGATAGCTTCTTGTTCCATTGTCCAACTTCATACTATACTTGCGACACGCTCAAACGACTGGTGAATTATACGTACCGTGGTCTATGTCCAGTCCTGGAAAGTTCGCTGATTTGCACGGAATAATGTATCACTGACCTCTTTATCATCGACTGCCTTACGATGCAGCTAAACCTGGGGCATTATCACCGTGACGTTTCCTCTGCGTGGGGTTAGGCTGCTCTTCGAGAAATTGGAATCTGGACTGCGTCAACTCTTGTACCGACGGTCTATGGTGCTATTGAGCTACTGCTCGTCTCCCGTTTTTTAGCCGGGAATGAAAGAAGTGGAGATTTCGTATCGCTGAAAATTTTCTTTTGCTCAAACCAGACTGTCTCCTGTGACTTTCATGCGTGAAGAGATCTATTTGGAGTGATTCACCGGCGTTTCTCTGTTCAAACTATAGTGGCAGTGGCTGGCAACAACAAGCTGTCCTATAAAGAGAGCAAAAACGCATTCGTCACCTTAGTGGTTACTTGTGTAGCCATCGGTGAATTTTGAATTGCACGTAAGGAACGAACGCTCCAGAAGTGCGAACACTTACTCTTGGGAGGGATGATTGTAACATTTTTGTTTTCGAGTTTGTTACCGAAATCGGTGCATTTTCGGAGATTGACTCCGTTACTGCTGATCCCCGTGTGTGCTCCTCCGTCCTCCTCGTCGGCCGAACAAGTGGCTGAACTGAACCTGTTATCAAGTCGCATGTTTCATTCTGCAGCAAACTTACATGTGTTTGAGTAACTGCGCTTGGTTCTTTGCAGAGCATAGAGTATAAAAGCTTTAAGCAGTAAGGCGTAAGCTACTGGTCGAGGGGCCTTTCGAGTTTTCCCAACTTGACGGTCTCTTACTCCCGTTTCTCCCTTCGTATTACATAACAGCTGTGCTCTAAGAAATCGCCACAGCTTTTGTCTGCACTCGCGTGTTATTTACCCATTGAGGCACCTCGTGGAGAAGCTACTTCCTTGGAGAGTGCTCAGCAACCATTCTCGACTGGTGCAACATTTTGCGACTTCCATTTTACGTTATGGTCTGTCTCAAAGGTATCACTGTCCTTGCCTGCTGAATTTGTGGTGACCAGAACCTTCCGATGTGTGTACTCAGCCTGTGGCTCTGTTTTCTTTCGATGTGTATATATTTCTTTCGCACTCTCGTCATCCTCGGTACTACGGTGGGTGTAATGCTGTTTATTGCAATATTTCACATGCACCGCTAGACTTCGTCACGTCGCAGCGTGAAACACTGTTCATGCTAGCTGCGTTAAGAGCCGTTGGGCCGTGTCTGCCAGTGAAAACTGCTGACCACCTAGAGCCGTGAGGCCACATGAATAGTTTTTGCCCGCATAGTACTCCCTTATGTAATCGAAGTAACCAAGCGAGGTCTCTGGACATCTGACGCATGCAGTCATACTGTGCTGCTCACCTTATTTTTAACCGGTTGTTTTATCTACTCACTTGACGCTCGATAAGTCGGAAATGTATTTTACGCGCCTTCATCAAGCGATTCTGACAGTAAGATTGACCGATGACTTCGTCCGTTCTGATTGCAAATCACACTTTAGTACGGTACCTTTTCGGGTATCTCCCCACCACAGCTCTCATCTGGCGTACCGGATGGCTGCTATTTGCAATCGCGGCCCATGTCTTCTGGGCCCCGGGATCCAAGCATCTCCACACTTACTCCCAACGGACCTATGGGATCATGTTCCGATCTGCTCATGTCGTCGACGTTTCCAATGTCAAACAACTTGAACGCCTCAAATTTAGTGTATGCTCCCAACCAACAGCAGGTGAGTATCAGACCAGTTGACTCTAGTTGTAGACATTCTGATTAATTTTCTCCCAGTTCCTCCTACGTTCAATTTCTTCCGTTGCCGTAGTTTCTTCCCCACTACACTGGTGGCAGGCTGGTAATGCCTGCGTCACTTAGACTCCACGGAACCGTTTGATTGACAAGGTTGTTCCATTCCGGCGACTATGGGTACATTGAGCATGTCCTCTCTTATAACTCCTGTTGTGGCGCTTCGAAATGCTTTCTAGAGCTACCGCGTTTTGCTTAGATGATGTGGCATGATGATGATGATGAGTAAATCAATAAGTTTGTTTGTTGCATACTTCATTTTGAACATAAACTGGACCTAATCGATTTGTCGCGAATAATACACCCGAGAGGGGCAAGATCGTTCAGCAGTGGCACCCTATCGGTGCCTAACTGCCATGCCACCCGAAGGTCGCACGAGGGCTGGGATACTGCCAGGTTGCTCAAGCCTAGTGGGAGGAGTTCGAGAGGCGGGGGCGGGTTCGAACGGACCTTCCGGTCCGTGCTCTAACCACTTGGGCCATCCCTCCTCCTGATGCAAAATCCTATTAGAATCATCCATGAGCTAATGATCAAATCAACCACCTGGTCAGCTAATAATTACCTTTATTATTTATAGGTTAACTGCATGTTGATTGATGCTCAGCTTCAAAATATTGGTTCGCTTTCAAATCAAACGTGCCTCAGTCCGTGAGTTACTGACGAGGTTTCTGATGCAGCAACATGGGGTGTTACGCACTCTCATACGTACTAGTTCATCTCTATCCTGCAGACTTTACCATTGAATCGATGTGTAGAATACTCCCAAAGAGTAACCCTAAAATTCTCGTAGCTTCTCTCCTTCCCAACAAAGACTGTCTCTTTCTGAAATTGGGGCACGCGGACACTATTTGGCATGGCGGCTGATTTCTCGTTAATTAGGTTTACACCTGAACTAATAGACAGTCCGATGGCTTGTTTGCGGTAAACGAATCGTGAGGCATACCATATAACGTGACGTTAGCCCGGTTATGGCTCCGGACACTGACGGGTATTGTTAGTTCACTCACTCGATGAAAGCTCAGTTGCGTTGGCTGTAAATTGGTTAAGTGGACCAGATCCTTGGGCAATCATGCGGTGGAGATAGCTTGGTTGGATCGAAAATAGGCCACGCGACACTGCTGAATTAATCTTAAGCTGTTGATGATTTACGCTGTAGGGGTTCGGTTCTCGAAAGATCGCAGGAGTTCCCACCTGGACTCCCAAGCAAAATTTTATCGAAGGAGTTCCGAGAAAGCATTTTGGTTGTAGACAAAATAAGGGTCACTCTATTTGCCTGCTAACAACTTTATTGGGCATTCGTCCACAGTGGCTCTGGATTTCAAAACCGTACAAGTTGGTATGCTATATTTTATTATTCTATGTTTTCGGACACCGGAGGAATTAGCGTGTTTCGTCCACTAAAACCTTCACAACCTTCAGATGCGGCCCGAATTATTCATGTCCAATAGTCGCACATCAACAACCGGTTGCCTAGACCTACCTTGTGGTCTCAGGCTTGATTCCCTGTACACAAACGAAACGAATGTCTTGGCTGTCGTTCTGACCTCCCCTTCTCAGATTATCCTGAAATTCTTGTCGTCATTGTCCTCGGTACTTGTTCTAGGCTGCACTGGTGAAATTCGACGAATATCCAACGTTTGTAAATAAAAACGATGTGTGTGTTGGACGACTGTCCCTGTCGTCTCGTATGGTTCGGTACTGGTTAGAATCACCGAACCATGTTTGTTCGCTTAGCTGTTTTCATCAGACACCGTCTTCTTAAGAATGCACAGTTACAGTGCAATTCGTCAGCAAAAGATCGAGTAAGTTCCATAGGCTTGCATTAGCCCCCCCCCCGAGATTAAAGGCAACTAAACCCGCTGTGTTGCTAAAATTTACTTGTCGTCGTTTAGACGAAAACAGACCATTTTGGTCTGCATATGGCTCCAGCATTCTGGAATGATAAGCCCGCAATGGTGCTAGAAAAGATTTTCTTGGACGTTCGTTTTGCTTATTAGCCAGCACCAAGTCACTATGTGTGTCTCGGCCACATCTTGTGCGTGGTGCGGGTCCACCGCGTGCATCATGAGCTTTCATGCGATTTGGCAATTCTGAACCAATAGTTGGATGTGCCGTTCAGTTTTGTCTACGCACTGGCCTAATTTCCTCCGATCCGCACTGTGTAAAAGGCCGTCAGCTGGCCTTACACTCGACTGAGCTCGAACCGCCTGTGCAGGTTACATTGGTGTGGTTCCGGGACCAAAAACTTATCGTCCGCCAGAATCGAAGTGGTTTTGCTTCCCTGCTTCATAAGGGCTATACACAGATGGATCATCACCATCCCACACGTCGCGGATTTTCGTTTCGTAAACTCCGATGTTGTTCGGTTTAGTGTTACTTAATGCTAACTCGTTTCACCGTTAATTTCAGATCCCCATCCTTCCTGGGGACTTTGATGCTATGAATTCCAACCCATCCCCAATGATGATGATGACAATGAACTCTTCATCCCCTGTACCTGGAGGACCTCTCATGAACGGCGCTGCACTTCCCACAGGGGTTATGAACATCGCCATGGCGAATTCCGCTCCGGCTCCGCCCCCTTATCATCAGACGGCTCCGACTAGCAACTGTCGATCGTTGGGTTCTTCTATTTTCTTTGGTACCTCTGCGATGCCATCAGTTACTGGAGCCACATCAATACATTCGAATGGGGTCACTGTCCTATCTGATGGTAGTGCGGGAATGACTGCGGACAGGCATTTTATGAGCATACCTGGAGATAATACTATTGTCACAACCGGGAGCAAGCAACAACCATCGGGTACCACTAAGACTGCCCGACCTAAACGCACCCGATCAAATAAGGTGAGACTTTTATCTTCTTACGTCCTGATCACGCTGGTTGTGGTATCACTGGTCCGTTATGCCCCTATTTTGCATCATTTCAACCGGTTATCTTTAAAAATATCGTACTTCAGAGCGCATCGAGCTTCTATCACTTGTTCACAAGTGATTCAAAGTGATCCAACGCTATCTTTAGTCTCACCGGCTATACACGATTTCTAATCTGTCCCAGGCATTCGGTATGCGTAATTTGTGTCAATCAATTTTTAATACGCATATCACAAACTTTTGTTTTTCTACAAGACACGCACACACACACACACACGGGGGAGCTTCGTCTCTTTATCACGATTGAATGCAAAACTCTTCCTTGTCCGTACAGCGGTTGTTCGCACCTCTCCTATTGTGTGCTGTTAGCGGCCGCCTTTGTATGTGTGTCATACTGCTGCCATTTGCCAATCTATTTGATACGCGCCTATGCACACACACACACACATACACCACTACATACTCTCCCTCCGAAAGAGCTAAATTGACCATCATGACTCCCCGTTCAGTCATTCGGCCCCAGTGCGGCGTCTGGTCCCACCTCACGGTCGATCGACACAAGGTTTTGTGCTGTCTATACGAACCCAGACGCACACACACACACACACGTCGGTTTGGCTATCGTTGTCGGTCGTCTCGTGTGTGTCAACCGGCTGCAACCATGTTTCCGACCGACCGAAAGTGGACATTTTATGGCTGCACCTGATAGGCCTCCTTTGTTCTTTCCAATTAGCTCAATGGGCACCGTTTTCTGATAGAACACCTAAAATGCCCAGTGTCAGCCTGGATTCGAGTTATTCAGCGAAACGGATACCGAGCTGAGTTGTCTATTCTGCAGACCACACCTCGGTATTTTCCTCTCTAAATGTTGCTCATTTCCCTAGTACTGATCACCTGCCTCCGTGCGGTTTGTCTCGACAATACCTTAGTAACGGCTTCTTGTGCACTGCATTTTATCCACTTATCATTGTTTTTCACAATTTCAACTGTAATGGAGAAGACCATCGCACGTACTACCAGACCCAGCAACTGCTCCTAGGAGAAGACACCTTCCGGGGTATCAAAGTGCATTCTTTATGGGGTGTTTCTTCCTGGGACTAGGAGTGCACCGACCCAAGCTCTTTCGTGGATCATCAGCTTCTAACTGAGTCAAGAAAACCCCATCATAAGCATCATAATAGTAACAGTGGCAATGATGCAGCAATATACATTTTTATCGCGAAGCCATAAATAGACTTGCGCCAGCGTTAGTGTCACCGAACTTATAGTCTTTGTGTATCTTTTATATGCACGTATTCTCAGGTTTCCGTATCATCTGACCTGACCGATGTGATCCACTAACTTGCATTATTGGTCAAATCACGTGATCGAAAAGTGCGGTGCGTCTTTCGTAGGAGCCATATGACAATGTTCGCACTGAGGCCCTTCAGACGTATCCTGGCGTCCAGGAGCGTTAAGCGGATTTCTCACTATCCGAACTGAAGGCTGTTTTAACTGTCTCACGTTAGCGTCCTGCAGCGTGAGGGACTGTCATTTAAATTAGCATTGATCTTCGAATTGTCTAGCTGATCTCAAATATGTGCCGCAAAAGAAGACATTTTTCGCACTTTCCCTTAATTTAACAATGAAGACAATGGAAATGATCAAGAGACTGACGGTTTCTCCTCAATCACCAAGCCCAGCACATCGATCAACTCGATGTGTTTGAAGTTATTGTCCGTTACTTTTCCTATTTTCCAGCTATTTTATCCTTGGAGCGTACTACAGTTGGCACGTGCACCCCCACGTTTAGTGTTGTGCGTCTATTATTGGCAAAAATATCACTCAAGTCAAGTTGGCCTATTCCAGAAAACCCCGACAACGTGATGGGATAGTGAATCAGTAGCATGCTTGAGAGAGCTTAGTATTTAAAGGTGTAGCTACTGACAGGAAGGTCTTTGGTGCGACCCGAACCCCAATGTTTCGATCGGTCCTATCCAGGCCTGGACAATCTGGTAGCATCTCGACCCTCGTACTTCATTCGTGTTTTACAGAAGCTACGTGGTGGCGAGATGGCCCAAGTGGTTAAAGCGCGAATTTATTGAACGGAAGGTCCATGGTCCGAACCCGACCTCTACCTCTCGACTTCCCCTGCCTAGGCTTGGGCAACCTGGCAGTATCCTAGCCCTCGTGCAACCTTCGGGTGGCATGGCAACTAGGCACTGAAAGAGTGCTACAGCTGACCGATTGGTGTTGCACACTAGCTACGTGCCTAGACGGCGCCACGGCTGGACGGTTATCATTTGTTTAGTGACGTTTGATGTAACATTCAACCATCATATCTGGGTCACAGGCGTAGGCTATTTTCGTTGTGGTGTTTCCCCTTGGGAGTAAGTTGGATGTTTTGCTGATGTTTACGGTCACCGTAGAATGAGGCTTCGTGCTAAAACAGTTTCCTCCATGTGGATATTTCTTTGTCCAGTGAAGATACACGGGCAACACGAAGCGAATGTGAGGGTGAAGGCCTATAGAATATTGCTACACTCGGTAGCCTTTACTGCAAATCAACTGAAAAATTCCATTTTTTTCGACCCCATGGTTAGATTTCTGAATTTTATAGTTTGACCTCGGATCCCTAGCTAAGGGTTTGACATTTTTACTAGCGTTGTTTACAGTGGGCAGTGATTATCGGTCCAGTAAAAGCAATCCACCACGCGCTTCTTCCTCTTTCACCCGCATACTCAAGAATGACCAGTAAGTCGAGATGCTGTTTCGGTGATTATCTTGCCGGACCGCAATCGTATTTCTCTAAATATCAACCAGGACATCATCTGCTCGAACCAGTGAGCCGCTCCGCCGCGTCTACCAAGGCAACCCTCCTTTTAATCCATTTGTCGGTACGCTATTGTCCTTCCTTCGTGTCTAGGGGTTTGGTACCATGAAAAGATGCACTGTCTACATGTGTGCCAGAGCAGATTATCTTCGTACAGTATGGAATGGAATTTTCAGAATCACAAGACTTGTTCTCGATAACAATGTCTGATTCATGAGTTAACAGGTTAAGCATGGAACTCGCAATTCACTGAATTCTGGCGATTATCAGTCCAGTTCATGGCCTGTTCAGATGGAGGTCAGTCATGCAGGACAGCTGTCGCACCGGTTGTCCAAGTGTACAGCTACTACATCGTCAAAAGTGCGCTAAGTCATACCTCATCTGGGATCGTTTGCAATCACAGCGTAGTCGACGCTCGAATACACTTTCAGTCCCGATTATATTGCCAGATGCTTGCTTTCAATGTGTACCTTTGTGAAAGCACCTCCCCTCCGGGACCTAACGATATTTCTCTCAGTGGCTACTCGATTAGCCCCTTTTTTGAGAGAACGTTTCCAGGGCAGCTGAGGATAGATAACCAAGCCAAAGCGATACGGCACAGTCATCTCTCTGGGCGTTTTGGGAACAAGATGTCCTTCATTGATCGTAGCCCGTTCATTTTTAAATGGACCTAGAACAGCGATAACTGGACTATCATCCGACACGTTTTTTATTGAGCGCTATGGTCTCTCCGATTATTCTAACGATTGTTCTAGAACTAGCTTCTTGTGGAGTAATGTTTTGGTTTGCAGGCGATTTAAAAAAAAACGTACTAAACTTATTGGCTGACTTGTCACCGATTAGGTTGCTTAAAGTTCTGCGATAGCCCACCACCGGTTGAGTTTCTCTTTGGGTTAGTCATGTAGGCGTAGTCCTCGAGTTTCTACAGGCCTCATTTCCTCTGCGCGCAGTGGCCAGGTTTCTGACTCGTATATCGATATATGGTGCACAGGAGCATTGTAAAATGAACCGTTGCTGGCTACTGTGATGCAGGTTCACGAAAACTGTTCCGGCTTTCCCAGTCTGGATGGAAACATCCTCTTTCGCTAGACCACTCAGGTAGACAAACTTGTTTACTACCTCAATCGGCTCATTCAAAGCATGAGGCTAGGGTTCGAGCCTACCCAGTCTTGCAGTAGCACTTTACACTTTGATGGTACGAAGCGCACGCCGAACAGTGAGGCAGCTTATTAAATGTCGTTTGCATTATTACGGGGTAAGATCCAAGAAGGGCTATGTCGTCTGCGTACTTGATATCTGTGAGCGGAAGTCCCAGAAGAACTTGAGGTATTTGAGGCTGGTAGTGAGTCTTCCATAGTCGTATGAATGATGAAGTTGAAGGGAAATGGTAAAAGAGGACAGCCCTGCCTGACACCAGTTGATGTAGTGAACTCAGATGAGAGCTTCCCGTAGACTTCAGGATTTGGCGTGCATCGCTCCAAGCAGGGTCAGCAATGTATGGGAGCCACCTTTGCTCCACAGACAATACCATTGCGCCCGGTGGTCCACAGAGTTGAAGGCAGCTTTCAGATAGAGGAATACAACATTTGTTGGTTGCCGGAAGTGGTGTCGCTGTTCCCGAATCTGTCGGAGAGTGAAGATATGATCGATGCATCCTCTTTCAGGTCGAAAACCAGCTTGGTTTTTACGGATCTGTCTCTCCTTGTGTTCAGTCAACTGTCGAAGGATAAGATCAGAGAGGACGTTTGATGCCACAGCTGCCAGGCTGAATCTACGGTGTTTTTCACACAGCGTTCGCGTAACCGTTTTGAGGATATGAAGAACTGTCAATATACCTAATTCCGCAGGCGCTTTCGCGTCTGAGTACCTTTGCAGACGGGCGATTAAGGTCTACATTCCATTCTCCCGTATGCATTAGCTCCACAGGCTGTGTTGCAGAAGACCACCTAAACTGCTTTTCGAAGTGTTCGGTCCATTTTTCCAGCCGACGTTTTTACGACTGAATTAATGAGGGTCTTTCTCACTTATCGTCTTACCGACTACTACTCTCCTAGGGCCAGTTGATCGTATCAGTTGCTATAGGACACGGCTGTCTCCTGTAGCAAAAGTCTTTTCCATCTCCCGACATTCCAGTGTCCACCAGAGTTCTCGGTGTTTCCTTAGGCTCTTCACTGTTTGGCGTTTGATGGATCTGCGCGCGGTCTTACTCGTTGCGGATTTCCGGGCATCAATCAGGACTATTGATCTTGACGATATCTATTTCATTGTATCAGGGACGTCGGACAACAGCACTGAGCACCGCTAGCACTGTTCACATTTTCTCATGCTTCATTCACGTGCTCTCCATCGGTACCGTATTGGTTTACTTCACAGGATTGTTGAGCTAGCTCAGGTGTATACTGTTGGGGTATGGTAGTTTATCGAAGATGGTGGATTGGCGTGCTTCTTGATCACTTGTGGTGTCCTGAAAGGAAAACGAACTGTCGGATGGACATACACCATGGTGTGATCGGAATCAATTTATATGCACTGGAAGAAACGGCAGTCTTGGACTGTGGCTCTCCACTGGTGGCTGATGGTCACGTGATCCAATTGGTTCCATGTTGACTTGCAGTTGATGGCTGCCAGACTGCAGAACGCTTGTGCTGGCGAGAAACAGTCGATGGTCGGTAAAATCTGTTATCTGTGCGATGAGCATCGACTCCACATCGACCACCCAGATTTCCACTCGTTCCGGTGAAAATGACATCTTCGCCATGAGCCACTTCAACGTGCTCATACATTGTCTCGTGTCCGACTTCGTGGGATTCGCCTAACCCATTGGGCGAGGATGACTCATGCTGTTTGTAGCCTGTATTTGCCATTTTGCTTATTCCAACCCATAAGTGGAAGAACTTCACACTAGCTATGGTTGCTATGATTTTCGAGTTTCCCCTCCATTCTTGACAGTTCCGTACTCGGAGAGCTGCAGCTCAAGCATAGGGGACTTAACCTTGATGCAGTGCACCAAGGCCGATGTTTTGGACTTCCGCATGATCCTTTCGAACGATGCAACAAAGTACAGGAGGTATCCTAACTGATCATCCGGAAGTCTCTAGACCCCATGTCGAGAGAGCATGGGACATGAGGTTCTAAGCTATCCTCGCTTATCTGCACTAGGTGAATCGGCTGAACGAAACACCACATTCACAAAAAAAAACAATAATGCGATAGCTGTTACTTTTTTCGACTTGACTGGAACCCAAACTGGTCACCATGGTGAATCGCAACATCCCCAGATGGTGAGGCGATGGTGTGCTTCAGAATGCATTCCCGTGCTTTTTTTCTTGCATGGGAGTGTAATTTATCTGGAACGTGTGTGCGCCTAATTTATGATCACATGATTGCGTAATTTGTGATTTGTCTGGTCTGGTCTATGAAACTACTATCCAACGCTTTAGCAAGGATTGCTACCAGACATTCCCTTGAAAGCTCAATCAAATGACACGGTCCTGCGGCCGTATATTACGATGTGTGCGAAATAATTATACAGCCATCCGTTTTAAGCGATGACGAAGTAAGTCTAAGTCCACCAAAACTCTTCAGCTTTTGCTTTTCCTTTGGTCCATAAAACCTGAAAAACGTTCAGCTGATCATTTGCGCGCATTTTAGCCCAAATGGGCGAAGTTAGATCTGACATGGGCGGAGAGCACAAATAACGGTCCTGTGGTAGGATATAGTAAGCATGACTTGACCAAGCAAGGTCGGCTCACCCGAAGCGTGATTCTATCCATGTTAAACGGTCGATTGTTATCGCACCAAGGGAGGAAGGGAAACTGATTTTTACCAAAAACAGTAGGCGGACAGTTGCCTAACAATTATGAAAAATCACCTACTGAATTCACTGGGAGGGAGAACGAAATTCGCGGGCCAAATCAAACGCGAGCGCATTTTGAAAGACTTGCTGAAGATCAACGTTTCCTTGAGATAGTAGTAGTAGTTTTGTGTCGTTTTTACTGAGGCTCAATTGAAGTGACAGTTCTGGATGACACTGAAACTTCAGTCCATCGTATAATTGCTAGTTTGTATCATTCTGTTATTTTGTCGAAAAATAACAAGGGCGAGCACGTGGTCTTAAAACCGGTGCACTCCTTCTCGGTAGATTCTCTCAGCTGTAACACAGTTTCGGTGCCTAACTGCCATCCCATCAGAAGAAATCATGAGGGCTGAGATACTGTCGAGTTGCCCAAGCCTAGACATGGGAAGTTGAGAGGCGGAGGTCAGGTTCGAACCACGGACCTTCCGGTCAGTAAATCCGCGCTCTAACCACTGAGCCATTTCGTGAAAATGGATCTAGATTGATCGTGAAATGTGTTTGTTCTCTGTATCGCTTGAGATCTCTGTAGCGGTAACAAGGTCTGCTTCAATAAAATCGCCATTGAACTGGTGAGAAACATGCGCTGGAGGACAAGTTGCTCAGCGGCTTCGCGAATTAGTGATGTGCACCACTTGATATTTTTCAAGTTCAGCCGGGGTAAATGTGGCATGTCCTGGGGACGACTATAGAGATGACCAGCCATTCAGTGACACGTATCAAGTTGCTCCTTGTGCCATCATGGCACCAGTATACAGTGCACTGTCTTGCAGCTGCTAAATGGCGTATAGTCCACAGTTTATGCCAAGTAATGATCTCTAGCGAACAGACTGTTACAGTTCACATTGGGAGCTTACGTGACTTTGGGGTAACACGCCGTACTCACCTGGATTATCGCCGCCCACTGATAACCATCAGGGCCCAGTCGCGCCCTCAATGGCTCTCATGCATCCAAGCGATTGCCTTCAATGCATAGCTCCATTGCCAATCCTCCCGCTGAAAAGTCCACTGACAGCTCTGTATATACGCACTAATTTATCAGCCCCCGGCTCCAATGCACAGCCACCTCCCCGAATCATCGGTGAACGAAACTGTGGCAGCTACAACCACTGTACAACAAGCACGAGGTTATTGCAGCTGACAACGATGATGATAGCCGTCTTTTCTAAATGATCAATTTCGACCTCAGTTTATAAAGTAAACAGTGACTCTTCTGCAGGACAACAATACGCATGTTATTACATCCACAGTATTCGTCGGAATTCGTCTACATGACAGCTGAAACTCCGGCTTGCAGGTCCCGGCGTTTTTTCTCCGAAAATACATAATGCCAATATTACCGTTAGCACCAGAACTTTATTACCGGTTGTCGGTCGATGAGCTGCATCAAGACTTTCTAGTTCGAATGACGACAATTAGTTCAGTTTACTAATTGCAATGGAAGTACGATGGATTCTTTTCCGCTGATAGGGATCAAACCGCAAAAAATTCTGGCGGCTGCATGAAAAGCCGGAACTATGTGTCACTGCATGCACTAGGTTTGTCAAACCACTGAAACCTGTCCCACTGGCTCCATCTGCAAACTCTCTGCTTATCGGCACCCAATCCAAGGCAACTCAGTGACGTTGTTGATCTTCGGAAATATCAGTTTCGTGTAGAAATGTTCTAGACCCGGTCTCCCGTTCCCGAACACATCGTATGTTTGCAACGGCAAACCCTCAGCACCAATCTGATCACATGATTCGTCTTGTCCAAGACTACAGTTCATATCCGCTTACTTTTAACCCTGTACATGACATGTTATCAAAGCTTCTCGATTGGCCTTGTTTGACCCATGTCTCGTCCTGTCAGAACAACAAACGCCCGGCCCCTTTCAGAGCCTGGGCACATGCACAATCATTGGTTTGAGCTTTCCCATAATTCGTTGATCTTTCGGCCATTCGTAACACTGCTAGCTTCATCTGTGTACATGGTTGCTCACTGTTTTTGAGCGCTCGTGACGCGGTGTCGTCGCGGATTAGACTCCAAAAATCAACCCTTCTCCCCTTCCGTTCACAGCATGGGCATACAACCGTTGGTTCTCCGTGTTACGCACCAGTGTGATGATTATATCATTTGGAATTCCAGTTTAAAAAATTCCACTGAGTCGATTAGTCCTGTAGGATTAGTGATGTCTTTTGGTGGCCTAATGACCCGACCCTACCCAAAGCATATATTTTCTCATGTTGCCTTTCTGCAGCCAGGAAAGTCTCACTTCAGTGATCTATTGGCATCGCCTCCCCCCCCCCCCGCCTCCTCAAATAGAGCCGTTTTGGTGC